CAACCACCGGCATGCACTCGGATAACTAAGCAGGCCTATCGAAGTGAGTGCATGTACCCAAATCTCAGGATGAAATGAAAGAAACGTGAGCTAGTCAGTGCAGTCCGACCCCCACGGCGGCATCAAACGCCACGGAAGTATCGTTTTTTAAATGCAGTTGAGAGGTTAATTTTGTTAGGCATACTTGCTTTCATTATTAGGAGGAGTTTTGGCAGCTTTCAATAATTTTGGTTCCCGGTGGTCCCTCAATAATCCGGTTGGCTAGAGCGTTGACTGTACTGGCGTGTGTTCGAATCCCACCGAGGCAATCGAATTTGTCACAGTTCATCCAAATGGAATATTTGCTTAATGTCGGGGTCTGACGACGGCCCGAGGAACAGGTGTCGAAAATTTAGCTTTTTCCCATAGGACATATATGACTGTTATGTCTTGAAATCTCTGCTTTCCGAGATATGGCGCTATAACTGGTCAACGGCCCACACCACACTTTGTTATGATAGATGGAGACACAGTGGAAGCATTTATCGATGTTGCGATCTAAACGCAGTAATATTTACCTTAAACTAATGTAAGCAGGTCAGTGTGTCTTTTGAATATGACAACATAAATATGCGGAACATGAAGAAGAACACAGAGGGCGATTTCTGACTCCGACAAGGCACTTTTCCGACTTTTAGAACTTTAGTTTCGATCGGATCTTACCTATGCCTCACATAACCACCAGCATACGAGATGCATCGATATAGCGTCAATGCTCGCCAACAACCCATATCGTTCCATTTTTGGTGAGGGATTGGTAATATTTGAAGCAAGCATACATATGTGTGTTGCAATCTAAATTTCGCCACATTAATTTGAACATAACATTTTATGAAACGATTGTATTCGTTTACCGGGGGTTGAGAGTTAGGGCATAAAGAGAAAAAAATTCTTTCTAAAATACTTTCAAGTTCAATTAATTTCTAAAAAAAAGTGTCAAAAGCAACCAAACGAATTGCTGCAGAACTATTCGTCGGAAGTGCACACCGACTTAAGGCTAATATGCGAAGAAGATTTAGTAAATCAATGACCGATTAAATACTAGCGAGCAGCCGGGTGTAATTTATCGCATACCGTGCGTAAGCTGTTCTTGGATTTTCATGGGGGAGACTGGATGTCTGCTTGGTTCACGCATACACGAGCATAAGCTGGCTGGGAGACGGGGTGATGCATTCTCACAAGTGGCCGCTCAGTCCTAGGAAACGGATCACGAATTTAAATTCGCAGCCGCGAGGATAATCGCCCACGCCGGAAGTAAGACAGGCTGGGAATTAATTAAGCCCTGGCCTCTAAAGAAAACTCTGTCAATCGATTTATCGGTCTGTTGCCGGCATACAGAGCCCTGCGCAGTCATCTCCGGGCTGTCTTAACTGGTGGCTGATTTGCCCCTGTCCACTATAACTGCTGCTTATCGTATGCGTTTTTATCTTTGACGATGGGCTCCAGTAGGTGTTCGAAAGCTCAGAGGAATAAAGCCATAATTCCAATGGTCGACGAGGCTTTTCCATCTTTACAATTTCAAAAGTCTCATTTTTCGAAAGCGTCCTGACTTCACTGTGCACAAAACCAGCTTTACATTATTCTGTCTTCAGAGTATAACTACCCCACTTTTCCACTTTTAAGGTACGACACTGCAATTTGCACGGTCTTATGTCTAGTAAAACAATGCCATCTATCAAAAGGTGATAAGGCGATATGATATGAACATTTAGGGTTCCATAGTCCACAGAAATATAACCCCGGGCTCATTTTCAATCTTGTGGTTGTTTTCAAATATAACTTTACAGCAATGTTTTTATTTAATTTCTTCTTAGGATACAGGCCTCTTTATTGTTATAACATCATTTTCATTTTGCTATAAATGTTGGTGGTTGTCTTTAATTTCTATTATTTTAATGCTGCCCACCCCTTCTGGGTTTCCTATACGCTTATCGTCTATCTGACGACTGATTTACTCTTTGATTTCTTTATAAAACAGGAATGCCAGTTAAGTTAAAATCCTCATTCGGTTATCGATAACATATTAGCAGTCTCTTTTCAGGTTAAAACTTTAGTCAAATCAACGATTAGATGCCAAACAATAATTTTCCAAAGGGACTTATGGGACGAGTATTGCTCGACAGAAAACAGTGCCTTCATAAAAAATGGAATTTTGTGGGAGTTTTTTCTAGCATTTACTTCATCCTCTCAAATATATTTGGAGGTGGGCAACAACGTGTTTAAATGACTGTCTTTATGCACTTATATCATTCTATGCCCCTCCTCCCTTTAGTGTCAAATGTGCTTCGCTCTTGGCGACTTTGAAAGCTCTTACCCAGTGGCGGCGAAGTTGGCCCAGAATTGCATCATGCTCTCGCTTAGCTGACGTTCATCATCGTTGAACTTGTAGAACTGTTCCTGGAAGTTGATGTTCAATGGCGCCCCAAAGATGTACTCTGCTTCGTAGCCCTGCATTATACCAGTCCAGGCCGGCCACGTCCATCCGCTTGTCCGATGTTCAAACGAATACATGAATACCTAGATGAAAGTAAATATCACATTTAATAAACTTCCTACTTAATAACGTTAAAGTAGGCGTTAATGAATGCACACACCTGCGTGTTCGGTCCTTGGGAGTAGAGGTCTGCAAACCGAACGACCGGGCATTTCACACAGTAGTCTCCGGCAGCCTCCGCAAGTGAGCGCTGCACCTGCTCCGCTGTCCACTCCTTTCGGTAGAAGGCGCGACTAGGGATCTAGAACAAAGGTTGTTTTAAAATGCCAAGCCAATATAACTGTTTCGAAATAAATGGGTTCAATCGTTATAAGGTGATCTGGGGTATACTGCCAACAAAACCGTCTACCGGATTTCAAGGAAGTAGTTTTCGTTCAGAGAAGGAGCTCTGTTGAAAACGGGGAAAGAAGAGAAGAGGAAGATTCGATCGCTGGGACAGCACTTTTATTCGCCTGACGTTTCGGCATCGTCGTGGATTCTTCATCAGAGACATCAGCAGAAAACAGTAGCAGAAGCGTGTGAAAGAAGAGTCTTCTTATTATTTTCCATGGCTATTTGTAATCATGCATGCTGACATGAAAATGACTGAAATGGCAGCCACAAGACTGTGTGGGCGATTCGGTTCACAGCTTTGAGCAGTCCCACGCTTGTTAAACCATACGTTACAAGGCAGTTCGATTCAACCATAAGGGTAGACGTGGATTTAATTGCACGTAATCCATATTTACCTGTCCTTCTTGTTACTTTCTTCAAGCCTCAGATGCTGTCCATCTTTCCAGCGTTAAGCTAGGCCTCTTCATCCACAATCAAGGACTTAATAATGATCATTTCGGGCAGGCCTAAGTTAACTCCCCCGG